ACAGCGCTGTTACCTCCAGCGACATATAGAGAGCTTAACTGGCAATCTTGGTGTACTCAGTAACGATGGCTTTATTAAAAAATGATTAAATCAACAGGACTTGGTCAAACTTGAATCTTTATCGAGGGTGAGAGGCAATGCGGGGCAGCGGGGATGGGGTGGGATGGGATGGGCCACCCTCACCTGAAGCATCCCATGGGAAGGGTGTCACAGTTTGGTATTGCAGGGATTGCTGGCAGTGGGACTTGCAGCAGGATATGGAGCCCAGGGGAGCACAGGTGGGATGTGCTTTGTGGGTGCCTTCTTCAGGCACCCTCCTACTGGGCCAGTGCAGCCTGCAGAGTGTAGGGATGGCCACAGGACCACGATACTGGTATTTAAACCCCATGCAAGTCCCAGCAGGGACACTGATTGCCACCAGCTCTTTATATTTTCATTGTGGTTAAAATATAAATCAAATAAAGCCCAGAGCTTTTATTATGTTGCAAACTGATAAATAGTTTGGGGGGGGGGGGTTTTGGTCTCTCTTTAAGCAACTAATAAACAGCCTTGGATGATTATTTTTTTATTGTTTTATTGTAGGGTTTTGGGTACAGTGATGAAATAGAAGGAAGTCATTGTGTTTAAACATAAGGTAGTTTGTGAATGTATTTTTTTAAATCTTAGAATAATCTGAAACAAAAAATCACGAGAAACCAGTATTACCACAGTGTTGTCTACGGTGTGTGTGTATGGAGATACCACAGAGCAAACGTTTTTCTGGTGCCAACCACAATAAAACACAAAAAACTTCACCATTAAACCATGCCTTTTATGTTTGGGTAAATAAAACCCGGGGTGTTGGAGGACACGGAGGTAAAGGGGGTTTTCAGGGTTCCCAGTCAGGATGTTCTTTGCCTGGGGACTCTCAGGAGAGCAGCTTCTGGAGCAGGAAGATTGCAGGGAGATGGGACATGGGGTTCCTTTTGAAACCCTGTTTCTGGGAGTTTTCACCCGAGAAAGGAAATTTATGCATTCAGCTGAGCAGCGCTGCGGGAGGAAAAAGCAGTAATGCCTGTGCATGCAGGAGTCACCTGAGCCTGTTGCAGATTCAGTTATTTACAAAGTTGCTGTGAAATGTTGCATGAACTTCAGGGACGAGTCCTGGCAAATGGAAGAAAAGCCTCAAGAGCTGACACGAGGCTGTGTGAGGCCCCTGGAGACCCCCAAGCACCCCAGGGAGGTGCTGGGTACCAAACCCTGGTGAAGGATGCTCAAAGGTAAGGCTGTAGCAGCTACTTGTGGGAACTGGAGGTTTTCAGACCTGTTTCAGAATTATAATCAAATGGGGGTTTTCTGGTGGTGGGATGGTTTGGAAGTTGATAGTATGTTTTTTGCGACATCTTTGTGGCAGAAGGGGGATGCTCAAGGTGACCCTGGCCCTGGCCCCAGAGCTGGTCTGGTTGCTGGAAATGGTTGAAGTAGCTGTGCTGCAGTTCCTTGTCTCAACATGAGCCCACGTCAGGTCCTTTCCTGCTCAGGCAGTGATTTGATGCTGCGTTACTGGGGCCAGTGTGAGCATCGTGTCAGCCAGCAGTGACTGAACCTGCCTGTTCCCGAAGGTGTGAGGGGAACCTCCACTCCATACCCTGCCTGTGTCCAGGACAAGCCACCCACCAGGGCACAGCTCCTCGGAGGAGATGCAGCAGAGATGCTCTCAGCAGTAAGGATGTGGTTCCGGGTGTAGGTTGCCTGTCACAGCCACCACTGCCCTGCAGTGTCCATGTCCTTCCCCTGCTTCCCTGCAGAGCTGCCACTTCCCACTTCCCACCCAGGCTGCAGAACAGCTTTGCTGGGTGTGCTTCCCAGTTTTTCTGTCCTGGGAGATGCTGTACCACCCAGAGCTGGGGGGTGGGAAAGGGCCCGTTAACCTCCCCTGTTTTAATGCCACCTGATTTTGCTGGGAGGGGACAAGGCCACCGCTCTGGCATCTTTACAGCGGTGCTGTAAATGCACCAAATTCTCTCTCCTAAATGTGTTTTATCAGCCTGAAGCCACCACCCACTGAGTGGCCCCAGCACAAGTGCCTGCCCTGGATGTTGTGCCAGCTGAGGTGCTGCATCAGTCTGGTCTTACCTGGAGAGCCAGAGATTTATGGACTCAATCCTCCTTCTTTTCTTTCTGTTTTGTTTTGGCATATTTTTAATTTTTTTTTTTTTTTTTGCATCAGGACTACCTCTGAGTGACCCAGAGGCAGTAAAATAGGTGTGCCAATTATCCTGGCCACAGAGAAAGCCTCACCGTCCTGGAATCTTTAAATTCCTTCCACTGAGGTGACAAGCACGTTCAGCTGCTCAAAAGCAAAGCCCAACCATAAACTTTAGCCCATTGCTTTTATCACAGAGCATTAGATTATCAGCAACACCAATTACAGTGAACACAACAGAGAGTAGGCAATAAGCTGGCAATTCTGCCTAACCAACATTATACACAGTTCTTACACTTTATTATTTAAGTAAAGCAATGAGCAGTAATGCAGACACTGTTGTTTTCCAATCACTTAACCACTGCCTGGCCAGGATCACCAGTTGTGGGCCAGGCTGGTGAACTCTGAGCTGTGCTGTGCTGCTCTCTGCACCCTCAGGGCTCAACCTGTGTGGTCACAGGTGACCTTGTGACCTTGTGTGGTCACAACCGGCTGTCAGACATGCAAGAGATTTGCAGGGCTGGTCATTCATCCTGGTGGAGCCTGGCCCGGTGCTCTATCCTGTAGGAATGTTGTTGTTCTGTTTTCCAAGCTATCAGTCAGCCCCTTTGGCAAGTGGCCACGGTGGGAGGCAGATTTACACACGGCCCTTTTCCACCTGTGAGCCTCAGGACGAGCCTCGAGCTAATCGGCACATCCACATCCAGCCCCCTGTTCAGAAAAGCACAGGGCCTGGAGTCCTGGTGCCACTGAGAGCTAAATATGTGCTTGAATTGCCCAGAGCCAGGCCGTGGAATAGTGTGTCACAGCCCAGCTGGCATCAGCTCACAGGGAGAGGCGGCTCAGAGCATCCAGCCTGGCAGGGAGCAAAAGGGGGGGTGGGAGAACCCCGGGATAACTTCATGCCTTTTGCCAGCAGATCTGGTCGAGGGATACACGTGACTGTGGGGCTTCCAGCTTTTGGCATCCGAAGTTTCCATGGAAGTCGCCAGGCCGCTCCTGGGGAGGTGACTGATGCTCATCCACACCATCCCACCACTGCCCCTGCTGCTCCACGCCCTCCCCTGGGAAATGGAATCACAGGAGGATTCAGCTGTGGAAGCAGCAGCGGGGAAGACACGGAAAGGCCACCCTGCTCTCTCATTTCAGTTGTGGATGGCCTTTTACCCCTCTAATTCTGGTAGGCTGGGAAGAGTCAGGGGAGAAGTAATACCCTCTCTTGGCCAGGCACCTGCAATGTGCCTGACAGGTACATGGGGATCCTGGAGGGGAACATCAGTCCTGGCCAGGGATCTCACAGTGCCCAAGGGTTTCCGTTTGGAATCTTAGGTCAGGGCTCTCTTTTGTTTTCTGATTCGATCTTCTTAAAAAGCCTGTTAATTGTCAAATCCTGACAGCCCCATTGTGGAGGCATTTAACTGCAGTGCAAAGAAAGGGTGCTTGTAAATGCCTGGGTATCCACACACGGTGAGCAAACAAACACCATGGGCAAAGATCTCAGCTGGAAGGACAAATATTGGGGAAAAGTAAAAAGCTCAGCCTCAGGCCCTTCCCTTTACAGCTTCGCCAGCACCAGGGGGGAATGCAGGTGCTGTGGCTGGAATCAACACCTGCTTAATGCAATGAACTTTTCTCCTCCAGTTAAAGTTTTACTTTACTAGAGGAGCCCAGTGCAAAGATTAGTGGTCTTACACTCATCTTTGTTTTTTTTATCTCTTGCTCTTCCTCTGTAGAAAGTACATTTTGTGCCTGTGTGAAGCCTGGATGGCTGAGAGCATCATCCAATGAGCCGCTGTATCTTGGCTGCCGGACCCATCAGGGGCTGGTCTGGAAGGTAATGGCTTTAATCAGCATTAATCACCTCCAGTCTGACTCAGACTTTGGCACGTCCCTACGGATGCCACCACCCGCCCAGCCCTGCAGCTCCTCTCGCTGACCATGTCAAGGACAGCACAGCCTGAGCCGGAGCGAGACCAGCTCAGACCAGCTTGTGCAGATGTGCAAAGTTCAGGAAAACCAAGCCAAAGACATTTGGCAGCAGCAGGAGTATTTGCAGCATCGGCCACAGTTCACAGAACCAGGGATATTTGACAGCACAGAGATCAGCTGGTGGTGCTGAAAGGCTCGGTGCTCACGCTGTTGGGGAGGTTTTCAATGAAAAGCTCTGTTATTGTAATATTCTGGGTAATTTTGCTACGTTATATCTTCACATGCACATGCAGATGTCTCCTCTGACCGCTCAGGCTGCGTGTACAGGTGTGTGCTGGCACTCAGCTGGGTGCTGAGGGGCTCTATGCGTGCAGGTGTCTACGTATGGATACACAGAGAGGCCCCTGTACATCTGTGTTTATATATGTTTGTCTGTGTATGTGATACACACACACAAATATATTTTAAAGCAGGTGCTAAGTGCTATCTAAATAAAACACTTAGTCATTTTCTATCTACTTTGCTAACATATGCTGGAGAGGTTTCTTCTCCCTAACTCAGGAAGAGGATTGTGATGTGGCACACACACCAGCACAGGAGCCGAGGAAAGTGTGGAGCATCTCAAAACAGGCTGTAGCGTGTTCCCGAGTCCCTGGCATGTCACATTCCCGGCTGTTAAACCAAGGGACAGCCCCAAACCAGCCCTGCAGCTGGATTTTGAATTTCCCAGGTCCACTCTATGCCTCTGTGGGTCTCCTGTTGTTTCGTGCGTGTCCCCAGACGCAGAGATTGGTGGTGGCTGCTTTGAGCCGAGCAGTGGCCAAGTAACACATGGAAGGCTTGGGTTTCTCATTAACTCCAGAGCTCATATAGTCCCATCTCTCAGAGCATCAGCCAGTTTTCCTGCCTCCCTCCCACCCCAGCTGTCCCTCCTTCCCTGCCCAAGCCCTCACCTCGCTCCACAGCCCAGGACAGGGACCATTCCTGGGACGACAGTGGAGGAGCTGCGGGATGGAAGAGAAAAGCAAAATGCAGACGGAGAAGGTAACCATGGCTCACTGGTATTTTTGTGCTGGGATTTCTGCAGGAGCCCAGCACTGAGAAATTCCATACCAAGACCAAAACCAACCAAAAAAAAAAATCCCCTCCCTTAATTAATTGCTCTCTGATGTCTGAGCACAGAGGCAAAGGGGTTAAGGGGTTGTTTTTTATTTTTAAGAGCTCTGTTGGCTCATTGGATAACTTTAACTGTGATGGAAGGAAATGCTTGAAACAGCACTGCTGAAAAACACCGTTTTGGTGATTCTTTTTTTCTCAGCTGTTGTGCTCCAGGGGTGGGGAGGGGGATAAGGATGGGGATGGGACAGGGCACACTGCTGCTGCCTGGGCTGCTGTACCCAGCAGAGCTCTGGCTCCTGTGAGCTCCAGGGCCAGGATGGGCTGTGCAGCAGGGAGAGCTGGACTGCTCAGTGTGGGGCAACAGCACTCTGCTCTGGGGGTCTTGATCTTGCCCATCCCCAGGGGCTTTCCTTCTCCTTTGAAGCCAGCCAAACCACCCTGGATGCTGCTGTCCAGGCCAGCTGGGCACCAGAGACAGGGATGGGGTTAGGACAGCAGGGTGAGGCTCTTGTCTGCTTCCTCCCCCAGCACCTCACGGGAACTCTGGTCCTCTCTGTCTTCACTGCAGTGTTGGGCTTCTTCCAGTATGGCTACTGCCTGGGTGTCATTAATGCCCCCCAGAAGGTAAGCTGAGCCCTCCAGACCATGCACAGCCAAGAACACGGCCAGGACGCCCCCTCTGCCACTTCCCCAAGCAGAGGTTTGGGGTGGTTACAGATTTGAGCTGATGGGGTTTTCCCCCTCTGCCTGTCCCAGGTGATAGAGGCGCACTACGGGCGCGTGCTGGGCGTCATCCCCCTGGATGGACACGCCACCAACACCTCCGGGGAGGATGGCACAGCCCCCCAGGCTGGCACCGAGGGCACGCTCACCCCCCTGGCTGACACCAGCGAGGACCTGGCCACCTCCCCACACATCCTCACCATGTACTGGTCCCTCTCTGTCTCCGTGTTTGCCGTTGGGGGCATGGTCTCCTCCTTCACTGTGGGCTGGATCGGCGACCGGCTTGGCAGGTGAGAACTCCGTGTGTGCTCTCACTCTGTGCCACAGCCCCCCCAGAGGCTTTCTGTTCCCTCCCTGTAGAAATACAATTTCTATTATTTTCCCCAATTTAGGAAAAAAAAAGGGGGAAAAAACCCCCACCCTCCAACTTCCAAAATACTGTTCCAACCATCACAGAGGTCGGGCTTATTAAAATCCTCAATTATCAATCAGGTGTTTTATTGCAACTTTAGCTCTTCAGACAGCAGCTGATGAGCAGCCTTGATTAACTTCTGAATTCCCCCTTTCCGTGGCAAATGGGAGAGAAGGGCATCTGAACGGTGTTTGCACAGGATGTAAAATGTAATTTATAATGTAATTTTAACTCCTCCAATTGCACCGGGGTGCTAAATTTTGCAGTGCCTACGATCGTTACTTTTCCCTCTGTGGTGCTGATTACGCCCCTCAGTAGCTCCGCTCGCACGTCGCGCCGGCTGCCTTGGCCGAGCGAGGTGCTGGGAGGAGCTGAGGTGCTGCTGCCTTGCAGGGTGAAAGCCATGCTGGTGGTGAACGTCCTCTCCATCGCTGGGAACCTCCTCATGGGGCTGGCGAAATTCGGGCCGTCCCACATCCTCATCATCGCCGGGAGAGCAGTCACGGGGCTGTACTGCGGTGAGTCCAGCCTGGGTCAGGCAGGTGCCGGGTGCTCCAGGGCTGCAGTTCGGAGTTTACTATATTTTTTTAATATTTTTTTTTAGTTCAGAAGGAGTTTCACAGGTGGGAGTTTCCTTCTTCTTCCTCTATCTGTCCTTCTCGATCCAGGATCTTTCCCAGAATAATTTGGGTTGGCTCTGTCACAAAACTGGTCTGTTTTACATATGCTAGAAAGGAGTAAGCCCCTCTCTATTTCAAGGCTGGATCTTGCTGGTGGTTCCTGTAACAGCACATCATTAGCCAGGCTGGTTAACAGGCTCCCCAGACAGCAGTGCTGTCTAGCAGAGAGCACAGGAGCACTGTACAAAGAGAGGATACAATAGTGAGCAAATAATATGGAATTACATTAGAATTAGCATAGAAAGAACATCTCATTATCACTGTTACTGGTATACAAATACAATACTCTGCTCTGACGTTTCAAGGCAAGTTTTAAGCAAGCTCTTTGCCCTGTGACAACTCCTCCCAGTGGACGATCTCTGCTCTGTGCTCTTTCTGTGTGTGTTTCAGTATAAAGGCTTGGGGCTCTGAATCCAGGGATATCCCAGCACCTTTCCAAGGTGCAGGTGGTTCCCAGCCAGGCACGAGGGGTTTGGTGGGGTGTGGGGTGCAGCACACGGGCTCCATTCTCCTTCCACGTTTGGGGAGTGGTTTCTGCTGGTTTCTGAGCTGTGGTCTAGAGGAGGTGACACCCGTGTGTGCTCCATGCAGGGCTCTCCTCCGGACTCGTGCCCATGTACGTCAGTGAGGTCTCTCCCACGGCCCTTCGGGGAGCGCTGGGGACGCTGCACCAGCTCGCCATTGTCACAGGGATCCTCATCAGCCAGGTAAGAAGGAAAGCTCACAAGTCCAGAGAGGGTGGCTCAGAGATTAGGGAGACCTCAATGATACGCTGGGGTGTCACTCACCATTCCACCCCAAAACTGAAGGAGTGTGCAAAACAATCCACTCTAATGGAGCTGAACTCCTGCCTTGAGTTGGAGATGTCTTAGCAAAGACAGGGTCTCCAGAAATAAAAATGCTTCTGAAAACAATTTCTCCTCTTCCTGAGGAATTATTTTCAGCATCTCTTCAGCATCAGGCTGGATCCTGAGCACAAGACCCCTGATAATCAGGTGCTCAAAAATGGCTTCATCAGAGAAGCAGGACGCCCAAAGTCCCAGTCAGCTTTTCCCTACCAAGGCAGGAGTTCCAGCTATGCAACAGGTGGGCACATAAATGTACCAAGAACAAACAGATCCAGAAAAAGAATTGGTATTTGCTTCTAGTTTACTTCCAGGCTGTCACCTCAAAATGCCAGAGGGATCAATCACTTTCTTTTCTTAGGTTGCAAACCTATCCACTCAAACCTGCCTCAATTATTCCAGGTCCTTGGACTAGACTTTCTCCTGGGCAACGATGAGATGTGGCCCCTGCTGCTCGGTCTGTCTGGCGTGGCCGCCCTGCTGCAGTTCTTCCTGCTCTTGCTGTGCCCTGAGAGCCCCCGATACCTTTACATCAAACTGGGCAAGGTGGAGGAAGCTAAAAGAAGTAAGGCACATTCTGGGCTTGTCTAGAATTGTTTTTATACTGTACACAGTGTTAAACACAGAAGGAAAAGGCTGAGGATTCACATATACCTGTGTGGTTGCTCCGTTCCACCCTCTGAGCTGCTGAGGTACAGATCAGATCTGGACCAAAAACTGCTGAGATGTTTGCATGGGACTAAGGAGCATTGCTGAGAGATGAGGCTTGAGCACAGCGTCTCAGGGCTGTTGCAGGACTGATGTGCTGCTGCCCCTGGCCAAGCAGACGCACTTTGGATCCTTGATATGCCATAGGAATCCTGAGAGCAAGAGGACATGGCTGTCCATGTGGTTGGCCTACCCTGAGTTTCAGCTAGAGGGATTCTTGTCCTTACTCCGTGCCTTATCTGCAGGTAAAATGCCAGTCTTTCTTTCTTTCTCATAAGATTTGAGAAGGCTTAGAGGAAACTGTGACCCGATGAGAGAGATTGCGGAGATGGAAAAAGAAAAGCAAGAAGCTGCTAGTGAAAAGAAAGTCTCCATAAGACAGCTTTTCACCTCTTCCAAGTACAGGCAGGCTGTCATCGTGGCGCTGATGGTGCAAATATCCCAGCAGTTCTCGGGAATCAACGCGGTGAGTCCCCCCAAAGCATTTGTCTTTAAAGAAATCCACGCTGAGCATGAAAAGCCAGCCCTGGCTCCATCCAAGCCATGCAGGGGGGAAAGGTGACTTTCCCATGGCTGCAGTGGACTCCTCAGCCACCGTGCTGGCTGTGCGAGGGCAGGAGGGGAGAAGGGTGTGAGGGAGTTCAGCACAAACCCAGCTGGCACAGCAGGTCCACGCTGAGCTCTCCCATGACCCTCCACCTACCCCAGTTCATCAGCAGTTTGCTCTCTTTAATGACTATGTGCTCACCCCAGGAACCACAGAATCATTATTTTCTAGCTATTTGTAACTAAACAGTTTTTTGTGTCACCTCTTGGGGATACCAGGAATCACCATTTTGCACCCAGAAGCATAGAGCCTCCTTTTCATAACCTGCTAAAAATCACATTTTTTTAAAGTCTGGTGGAACTTGAGGCCTCTGTTCCACCAGCTTTCAAAACTCTGTGAGCATTTCTGCATCCCAAGGCAAAGTGGCGTGCAGAGGTGCCCAGCTCTGTGGGGATGAACCAGGATGAGGATGTCACAGAGCACAGCTGGGAGTCAGCACCCATTTACCTCCAGCCCTTTACTTTCACCAGAAAAGAATCACCTTATTCTTGGAGAGAAGGGAGAAATGGGAGTCGTTCTAATGCAATGAGAATATTTTAAAATTCATGTAAAACTCAGTCATATTAAGATATTTTTCTTCATTGCTCAGTGCTGGTGATCTGGATTTCAAGATTAAACATGGAGTACATGGAAGAAAACAGTTTTAATGTGCAAATGCAGTAGCTCAGGAGGGGAATTTCAACAGGATTTTTAACTCCCTCTGGCTCCTTTGAAATTTTCAGTTTTAATTACTATAACAAGCTATTAAAAGTTGAAAAACTAATCATAATTAAATTACTTCACATCTCAGCCAAGCAAGTGCAACTCTTCCCTCAGGAGAACAAAAAGTTTCACCAGCCCTGTTGCCTAATCCTTCATCCTGATGTATTTTGATAGATCTTTTACTATTCTACAAACATTTTCGAGAGAGCTGGAGTTGACCAACCAGTTTACGCAACCATCGGTGTTGGAGTGGTGAACACAGTCTTCACTGTTATCTCTGTAAGTAAATACTTCTGCCATGCAGACTACAAAGGCACGTAAGCTACAGTGGGGTTTTGAAACATGATTTTATGCTGGGGCTGGGATTTGTAGTTTTTCAGGGCTTGACCTTGAACACCTTACAGGGAAAAAATCATTCCCTGGGCAAGTTTCATTTGAAAATTTAAGCCTTGACATAGAGGCTGACATCAGCACTGCTAAAATGCCTTATGAGTGGAAACTACATCACTGTGTTCAGAGAAGCTCTGGTAACTCAGCAATTCCCCCAAAACAGAAGGGGCTGGAGCCTGGGATGGGGGAGCGAGCAGCTCACAGTCTCCTTTACCTGTTACCTTTCAAACTGTTTTGTGTATGTGCATAGCACCTGCACGAGTGATAACCAAAGGCTATCCCACAGTAATCCAGTAATCCAGCACCCATCCTCATCCTATCTAGGCAGTGCTCTGCAGCAATAAAAGGATGGTTTTGTTTCCACAGACTTTCCCTTCGTTTTTCTCTCTCCTGAGAGGATTAACACAATTCCTATCAGCAGGCAATTAGATTTTTAATGTGGCCATTAACATAAGATCAGGAAATGCCAAGCTCATTTCCCTGACACCTCTTGAGAGACTTAGGGAGTAAAGGACTTTTACCTCCAACAAAGCAGGACTGGCTGCAAGGGAGAAATACACAGCTCCAAGAGATTTAAAACAAGGGGGAATCACTTTAAAATGGCAGAGGGGAGGTTTAGATTAGATATTAGTGAGAAATAGGCTGTGAGGATGGTGAGGCACTGGGCCAGGTTGCCTAGAGAAGCTGTGGATGCCTCATCCATGAAGTGTTCGAGGCCAGGTTGGACCAGGCTTGGAGCAACCTGGGATAGTGGAAGGTGTCTCTGCCCATGGCAGGGGAGTTGGAACAAGATGGTCTTTGAGGTCCCTTCCAACCCCAACCATTCTTACTCCAGGATGTATGAGGAGGTCTTGGGGTGAACTTTCTTTAGAGGAAGTCCATCACAGGCCCCATATTGAGGAGAAAATGTGATCCTTATTGTGAAATGAGACTCGGAGGTGTGTAGCTGGAAGGAGCCTTTCTCCAGCATGGAGGGTCTCCTGCAGTTCCATCCCCGCTCTGAGGCTCTGGTACTCGCGGCCTGGAGCATTTGCTCTTTGCTTCTCTTGGCTGTGAGAACTTAAAAATTACCTGCCTTTGTCAATAAATGACAGACCCTGATCAAAAGGCAGAAGTGCTGACAGCAGGTGGACCTTGGCAGGGGGAGAAGGGAATGCAGAGGCTTGTCCTCTGCAACTTCCCGAGTCAGCAGGATGAACCGCTTCCAGCGAGAGGCAGTCTCCTGGAAGCATAAATCACGGCTGTAACGGCAGGAAAGGTTGAGCTGCTGGCCAGAGGTGTCCTTCAGAGCAGAGGGGAAGGACCAGGCAGCCTCAGAGGCTCATGCACAGTTAGGCCAGGCCAGCTGCACTGACCTCTGCAGGTATCTACACCCCCCGCACTGGGTGAGGTGTCTGGTACAGAGTTCCAAAAGCTGTGTGACATGACTGGAGCCCACCAAGAGGAGCTGAGAAGGAGAAAGCTAAGACTTGTGGATACCAGGGAAACAAAAGGAGTCTGAGAGGAGGAAAAATCCTGCTGCTACACAATGATCCCTGCCCTGGGACAGGCAAGGTGTGACCTGAATCACGCTATATTTTGAAGGCCAATTTCAAACTACTGCAGAGCTAGTAAGTTTTTTTCTTCCTGGGAAAGAAAAGGAGAGAGAGGAAAAGTTCACAGTCAGCAATACATGTGTAGGAGCAGTGAGAAGCCCTGAGAGCCTGGAAACTCATGAGCTCTGAGTGTATGTGGCTTTGCCTTGCCCTTGGCAAGGTGACTGCTCAGTCTGGCTCCCTAAGAGTCACTTGGAAACCAGCACATAAATCCCTACCACGAGAGCTAAAAGAGCAGGAGGGCAGTGTGGCAGTGGTAACAGCTTGGTTATTGCTAATGGACCTGGTCCTGAGAGCAGCAGGGCTGGAGACTGAGCTGCTGCACATGTTTCTACAGGTCTTTCTGGTGGAGAAGGCGGGCAGGCGGTCCCTGTTCCTGGCTGGATTGATGGGCATGTTAATAAGCGCTGTGGCCATGACAGTTGGACTTGTGCTCCTGGTAAGGATTTCTCTCCATTTTTAATCCCTGATTTGCAAACAAGAGAAGACACCATCAAAGTCAGTCCAAACCACTGGAGCAAGCCCCTGCTGGGATATAAAACCAAATAAGGGGTGACCTCCTTTACTGAACACTCTGTTTATTAAAGACAGTACCATCCTCTGTTGTCCTGGCCATGCTGCAGGCAAGGAGAGGGCTCAAACGAACAGCTGAGCTGATGGCTGTGAACTCCTGCAAGCAGCAACACTGGCAACACATGCCCAGCCAGCACCTGGCACAAGAGTCGAGAGCCTTAATTATTCATGTCCAGTCCCCACTTGTCTGAATGGAAAGAAATTTCTGAAAAAGAAGCTTAATTAAAGTAATTGCTGATAATTAATAAGAGTTGTGTTGGGACTATAACACTAACCTCTTACAGAGCCAGTTTGCCTGGATGAGCTATGTCAGCATGGTGGCGATCTTCCTCTTCGTCATCTTCTTTGAAGTCGGGCCCGGGCCCATCCCCTGGTTTATCGTGGCCGAGCTGTTCAGCCAAGGCCCCCGTCCCGCCGCCATCGCCGTCGCCGGCTTCTGCAACTGGGCCTGCAACTTCATCGTGGGAATGTGCTTCCAGTACATAGCGGTAAGAAACCCCTCACACCACACAAATAAATCGCTGGCACAACCCCGCTGCTGGCTCCTGGAGCAACCCAGCAGGATGGGGATGTGCCTCCCAGATCTCCATCCCCAAGGCCTGCTGGGCACCTCAGTTCCCCGGGGTAGGAAGGGGAAGCCATCACTGCGATGCTGATGGTGGTGTTCCCTGTTCCCACTTGCCCCACTGCAGGATCTGTGCGGACCGTACGTGTTTGCGATCTTCGCGGCCCTGCTCCTGCTCTTCTTTCTGTTTGCCTACTTCAAAGTCCCAGAGACGAAAGGGAAGTCCTTTGAGGAGATCGCGGCCGTGTTCCGCCGCAAGAAGCTCTCGGCCAAAGCCATGACTGAGCTGCAGGACCTGCGAGCCAGCGAGGAGGCATAGCCACCCCACCCATCCAGAAAGGAGGCACTGCGCATGGACCTCCTTCAGGCGCCATGGGCAAAAGTCTCATTTCACAAAAACCTTGCAGCTGGCAGACCAGGAAGACCCATCCACCGCATTCCTTCTGGCTGCCGGGGTTCACACCTCCCAGGTGAACCCGGCATTTCAGTCTGAGACACTTGGTACAACTGTACTGCAGGAAGAGACAGGAAAAGGACAGGAGGAGTTTGTTACCCGTGTGTCTCCACGTCCCGCTGCAAGAGCCCGACAGGACAGTGATGTTACCACATGGCCAAGCAGGGCCATCGCTCAGCTGGAGTGAAGGAAAGAGGAGTCGGCTGATGCTGCAGCCTCATGTTTTCACCTTTTTGTCCCATGCTTGCTGCTTCCTTCTCGTGAGAGACTTGGTGCCTCGAGAAGCCAACTGCGAGAGTGCATTTGTGCCCCCAGCACACAGCACTGATCGCATGAGGTGCCAAGGAAAACAGGTGGGGCAAACTCCCCCTTACTCTTGCCTGTGCAGAGGAAGAAGGTGGATCCCACCCGAACCTCACTTGCTTTGCTGTCTGTGCATTATGGAAATGCTGTCCAATCTCACAAGGATTTCCAATCAGCATTTTTTAGGAGAATCTTAGAAACTGTGGCTGGGCTGATGGGCATTTTTTTCCTTATGTTTCAGCCATACTATTTAGCACCCTATTCCCTCGTAGGAAACCTCTCCTCCCTCCCCTTCTCCCTGCTCCAGCACAAGGTAAGCACAATATTGACCACACAAGGGGCCTGGGCACTCCCTGACCCCAGGGTCAGGAGACCCAAGTCCTGCTGCCATCCCTCCCATGGTGTGACTACTGCCAGGTCACCTCCTTCCCCATCCTCTGTGCCTGCCTTCCCTTCCTTTTGTACAGTGCTCAGACCCACAGGCTCCAGCCTGAGTCAAGGGCTTGGGCTGCCCATACTGTAACAATTAGTGATGACCCGAAGGGGGAATTCGGTACTGGAGGGTTAACTGGAAGGTGCCCACTGATCAGACCCCCACTTTGCACCACTTGGGATTTTGCTGGCTGGATGTGCTGCAGCCAAGAAGTGCAAGCAGGAGGTCATGCTGTTTCCATAGCCTTGTTTGTGCTCCTTTCGCTTCTTTGTGAGACATTTTTATGTGACAGAATCAAACTCCGTGGATTTTTCTTCCTTTTTTGGGGGGATATCTTGGAAACAATGTAAAAAGCCTGCTCTGTGTTTGCTTGACTTTTAAGATTTGCATGTTCTGTGTTGTGATACCAGGTTACTTTCTAGCAACTTTCTCAGGATAGAAACCCATTATTTATTTAAAGATGAAACACCAGCATTGCTGGGTTGCTGTGAGCTCACCACGCTGCTGGTGAAGCAGTGGCCAAAATGTAACAGAGGATCAAGCATAATGAAAAGCACAGAACAGATGGGCCAAGGAGGATCATGCTGCTGCTATGGCTTTGGTTTTGGGGAAAGTTCATGCTCCTTTCCATGTGCCTGAACGTTTTTCCTCTGTAGACTTTACTCTCTTGGAATTAAGACTCTAAAGCAAATTCTGGTCCCTTCCAAGTGACTGGAAGTGCAGCCACAAGGTCCTTTGGGAAAAGTGTCTGGCCCCAGTGCATGCACTGAAGCAGTAAGATTGCACCAAAGGCTTTCCAGGAGTGACTGCTGGGATTTAACTCGAGGAGAACTGGGTCAGTGCTGTCATGTGCTACAGCAGTGGGGATTCCAGGTCTGACATGGATCTGGGAACCAGGGCTCAGGCTGGGGTAGAGAAGAGAGCAGCAGAGCTGGGGCACAGATCTATCTGGATGGAACCTTCTGTCTGTGTACTGCAAACAGGTCCCCCCAGGTAAGACCAGCTGCCACAGCAGGCTCAGAAACTCTCCACAGTGTTTACTACAGGTAGTTTAATATTATAATGGATTGTCTGAATGTAAAAAAAAGGGGGGAAAAAAGAGGTGGGTTCCTGCTTTCAATAATGTTGTCTATGTCTGTTAGATAAAAGTGACAGTGAACAACATCTATGGTGTGTGTTGGCCTGTGCTGTTGGTTTTTTCCCTCTGTACATCTCAGACATACATCCAGTGCCAGACAGGACCTATTTTCCTGGCAGGACACATCTGCTCCATGAGTGGTAAATGCTGTGCAAGCCCTCAGCCAAACCCCCTTAAATGGATGGTACAGAGGTGAGATTGGGCTTGGAGGCAGACCTGGAGCCGGTGGTAGCTGTCTCTGTGTTGGGATCAATCTTCACTGGAGGTTTGCTGGTGTCTGGCCCCAGCTGTCCCCCCTCCCACTTCACCCCTCCGTGAGGCACCTCTGCTTCGTGGCACTGATGCAGCTTAAAACTTGGTGCTGGGGCCTCTCTAGGCACAACTGTCAGGAGGAGCATTTGGGGAGAGGGCTCTGAAGGGAGACCCAGCCAGGCTGGGTTCACAGCCACCGTACAGGTGGTGCAAAACTATTTCTCTAAACTTCTGCTAAGCTTTGTCCCAGTGCCTGCAGGGCATCAGTGATTGCCAACTGAACAGTGAGGGGCCATTTACTGAGCAACACTGAGCAGCCAGGCCTTGTTTTGCTGAATGAGAATAGAAAGCCTGATTCAATTACAGCACATAAATTAGTTTAACAAAGCCCTGCGACACTAACATTAGCCACAGCTATATCCCTGAAATTCCCGGAAAATCCACCTGGGGAGGTTCAGAAACGCTTAAGGAAAATGGAGTTTCAGGTTGTGCTTCCTTGCAGCAGCTGCTGTGTGGAAGTCTTCTCCTTCCATCCTGGGACAAAGCCTTGGCACTGCTGACCCTCTGTCCTCCCTATGGCTGTGGTGGAAGGATCAAGCTGGGCTGAACTATCACAAGAGCACTTTTACTGACCGTATGACAACACAGGAAGGGGTCATTTGAGTCAATATGTTTACTTATGTCTTGTCCCATCAGGCCAGTAATTAGAACTGTACACTTTATCTGCCCTTGCTACATGCAAGTTCCAGTTAAAACTTGTTCTTGAGATACAGCTTGTTGAACCACTGTTTTTACCTCTCACTGTTACAGTTTTACTAAGTCGCTAATCATTAAGAAAATTTGAAAGACTTATTAGCTAAATGGTTGTTGCATTTTAGTTAACGTGCAAAATATGTTCTCATACCATGCCTGGCTAATAATGCAATATAATTAATAATCCCTGAGAAAGCATCTTGTCAGCAAGAGCTCTGACAGTGTTTTCCTAATGTGCTGAGACGACAGCCATTAAGACTTTCCTGTTGTGCCAACGATATCTGGTCTCCCACTCTCGAGGCTTAATTTTAAAATTAGTTTGTCTTCCCTAATTCAATAAACTCAGGACGTTTGGCCCCATTAACACTCTCCACACTAATTTATCACAGATTTTTCTGCCTCACTTCAACTTGTTTTTCATCGCTGAAAAGCACTACCCTCCACCTCCAGAGTCAAACAGCTGATAAGGATAAAGTTAACCCAAGTTCTGTGTACGCAGGTACCAAGTCTTTGAGGTACGATTAATTTTCCGAGGTGTTCAATGTCCTTATCTTTCATTGAAATCTGTGAGAGCTGAGGAATTTCAAGGCAGGACATCAGGTCTGGATCCAGCAGAATGTGTAAGCATGAGATTTAATTTAAGGTAGCTGAGTGTGCTCAAGTGTTTCACTAAATTCTCAAGCAGTACTGACAAATTTTACCCAGAGGCACAACCTAAGTAGCTGTGCTGAAAAGGAAGGATCTCCTCCCCAGCAAAGGGGCAATAAATCCTGGCTGTGGATCAGCAGTCCTTAAATTTTACAGGCTGTAGATACAACTGTAGACCTGAGACTCGGGTAGTGTCTTATGGTTTTGTCTCCCTGCATTCAGTTCAGGAGCGGGAAGTGGCTCTGTGACTGTGGAAAGCATCAGGGCCCCCCAGGTTGTGGGTGGGATGTCACTGCAGGAACACTGCTGCACACCCGGGAGGAGGGAACAGCTGGAGTTACTTTGTGCTTCCCTTCTTCCCAGTGGGGAAGTTACAGTAGTTCCCGTTAGCTCAGTGTCCCTGCACTGTCACTGCTTGTCTCTGATCCCCAGTCCCAGGGTAATTCCCTGGGGAATTTGGACACAGGCACGGCAGAGGGAACTGACAGTGAACAGCAGGAATAAAGCAGTGCCCAGAGCAGGGTGGGTGCCTGTGGCAAGGTCACTACAGAGGCTCCTTGACCCGGCTCCTGCCCCACAGAGACACCGGAGGAGCTCAGAGGGCCTGCTGAGCACAGCACTGTCCTGTGGAAGGGGGAGTCACTGACTCCCAGCCTCCCATGTCCCTGATGCAGCACTCAGAAGCCGCTGTGAACCCTCAACCCAACAGTCAGGACACGGTGAGATCCCAGCAAAGTCAGCCCAGCAGCTGAAGCAGACGCTGGCTCGGGTTGGAACGGGGCTGTTTGCACTGCTTTGCTCGTGACCTGTTACTTCTAATCGTGTGACCTGAACCCACAGCTCATGTGGGTGTAAACACCACCTCCTGCCTTCCAGCAGGCTGTCTGGAAACAAGGTGGGATGTTTCTGGAAAGACGGTGGGATGTTCAGCCCAGCTCTGGCTGAAATGCATATTCTCGAGGCTGGGATTTAAGGACGTGCATCAGTTATATTCTCCAGAATATAACTGAGAACAGACACAACTCACTCAGTTTAAAACATTCCATAAGTTTTCTAATCCCTCTTCACTTCTTATCTATAAAGACACAGTTAGGAGAACCAAAGCTCTATAAAATCCTGAGCCTGCTGGAAAGAAAAGGGGTGTGTATGATCCAGCTGGGCAGCAGTGGAAAGGAAATACCTTTAAATGTGAAAGGCCACAGGATTTTATTTTCAAATGTGCTTTCAATCAAAGTGCTGTTGTTGCGTAGAAAAGGGGGATAATCACATCAGTATTATCAAGAAACACACATTAGAAAATAAATGTTGATCCAGACAAAGGAAAGATGCCTGCAGGCAATGAATGATGGATTGGATTTCCAATGGTTTTTATTGAATCTCAGATAAAGGCTGTCTTGGAATATTTGTTTTGTGTCTGAAAAATAAATATCATCTCCAGCTGTACTTTAGCAAAAAGACTTGATTTACCCCAGAAGATCTCTCAACTACTCCAAAATGAATCTGCTAATTGTGGAAAATCAACCAAATTTATCAACTGATACTTGAGGAAAAAAAAAAATTATCAGTAGTGCTTAGCCCCAGCCTGCTGCAGTTTGGGTCAGAGCAGTTGGTCGTTCTCCCACGATGTATTTTATCATAGGAAAAAATGCCCTAGAGCAGGTACAATTTGTCACACACTTGCAGGTAAACAAACACACACTGTACATGTGAAAACACTTAACAGGATGCCCCAGACTCTCCTTATCAACTGAGACAGCAGTAAAATGGGCAGGATAAAGGGTATCATCTCCAGAGCAGGCTGGGTGAGGCAGCACCCACACAGAGCTGTGGTAATAGAGAGAGCCACCACGGGGGCATCACGATGTAAATGAGAGCCAAACCTTTCTTCTTGGGTACACACCGTACAATTTGGAGTGGGATCTGTGTAACCAAGGGTGGGAGTGGGACCACAGGCAAAGAGATCGTGCAGATTAATGCAGATTAAATAAAATATCCCATGATGAACCATTAAAAAATATGACGTTAAAAGTGACTTGTGTAGCTGCCCCATCGGAACAGAGAGGACAAATTCAGGATTTTGGGGCAGAAAACATAGGACAGCACACAGCAGCCTGTGGTGGTGATGGCAGTGCTGCCATGAAATTTCTGTGTTTTCCTGCCATGGGCACAGACATCTTTCACTAGATCACATTGCTCTAAATCCCATCCGTCCTGGCCTTGAACACTTCCAACGATGGGGCATTCAAAGTTTTTCTGGGCATGGTTTTTCTAAACCTACCCCACTGTTTCAGTTTAAAACCACTGCTCCTTGACCTGTCACTACAGGCCCTGGTAAAAAGTTTCTCTCTCTCTCTTTCTTATAACCCTCCTTTATATACTAGAATACTGCAACAAGGTCTCCCTGGAGCTTTCTCTTCTCCAGGCTGAGCAACCCCAACTCTCAGCCTTTCTTTGCAGAAGAATATCACCTTCAAGGCTCTCCTTGGGATCTGCTCCAGCAGATCCATGTCTTTCTAGGTTGGGGACCCCCAGAGCTGAACACAGCACTGCAGCACTAACAAGTCCACTATTAATGGAATATCACGTCTATCAACAAGCACAAGCCCTCGCCATGGATCCTGCATGTCTCAGGCCCATTTGGCTTGCAAAGCGCCGATTTCTGGTTGCTCTGAGAGAGGACATACAAAACGGGTGGACAACTGAGTGTCATGTGGGCAGTTAACCACGCCTCATGAGCCTTCGGGAACACGCATTTCCCGTGTAAATTCGCGTAACTCGTGTAACACCCCTCGGTGCGCACAGGTAGCCCCCCTCTGCGGGGTGGGCAGTGGGCCGCGGCCACCTCATCCACCCAAGATTTCTGACTACTCTGAGAGGCGGGGACACACGAGGGCAGTTAATCACGCCTCACGATGCCTTTGGGGGACGCTTATTTCCCCTGTAGCGCGTGTAAAAAAAAAAAAAAAAAAAAACACGCAGAGCACGAGGGGAAGGGGGGCGGCCTCAGCCGCCCAAGATGGCGGCGATGCGTGAGGGCTGTGAGGAGGAGGAGGGGGAGGAGGCGGCGCCCCCTGGCGGCCGAAGCGCGGCTCCGCACGGCGGGGGTGGGCGGGAAAGCGCCGCCGGCACGTGGGGCGTGGGTGGGTGGGGCGAGGGCGGCCACGCCCATCCCAGGGGGAGG